AAATAGTGCAAAGGCTCCTCGTACGGATGGCTTAGAAGTCTGGCCTGTCCTTCTTCAGTTTGGAGTAATCCATGTTTACTGCAAGAAGCTGGACACACACACACACACATAAAAACAAATATGCATTATCATATGACTGCTGAGATATGGACTTTGACGCAAGATAACAGAAAATTATGGCCTGTCCTTTGTAGAAACATGCCTGCTCTATAACTTGACGTAAAGGATTAAGAAAAACGGCTCGTACTTTGTACTGCTGATTGGGCTGCATTTGGTTCCAGGGTTCAGGGTTGTTCTTGTGATCCCATCTGAAGACAAGAGGAAAAGCCGTGATCGAAACAACACATCCCCGAGTAACCGAGGAAAGTGAAAACGCCCGCTTTTCTATAAGTTTAAATCGTCTCAGATACTTACGACACGTCTGGGTTTTTCAGAGCCGCCCTGGTCAGGGCCAACACACTCATGGTTGCCCCTCCACTTATGAAGATGAACAGGGGGATCAGCTTTGGAGAAAGGGCATCAATCAGTCAATAAAGCTATTGCTTTATCAATGCCAGTGGAGCAAAACCAGAAGAGAACAATATACAGAGTTTTAAAAATGTTAGGCACATTTTCCTTCTTGAGTTAGGAGGAGAAGTTGCTATAAATCTGTGTAAATCTGTTGCTCTCTGACTGGAAGTGGTAGTCCTAGATTAGGTTACCAGATGTCAGAAACTAAAACTGCAGACATAAAAGATGGGAACAGACAAGACGGACTCTGCTTTCCTCTGCAGCTGCAGATCTTGCAGGATTTCCAGTGTGGAGCCTTAAAGAGTATGTTTCTATGTTTGATCTATAAAACGTTGATAGATCTTTGTTATCTGCGTCCTTTTAGATCTTATTCAGCATTTCATCTGTTACAAACCATGTGTAGGAGTCCAGTTTTTCCTACTGTGCATTGCCAAGACATAATGTGTCTTATTAAGTTTTAAGATAAGGGCAAATAGTTGTTGTCCCTGCTTATATCACCACACTTTGACCCCGTGGCCAGTTGCATGTGTCTAACAGCTATTAATAATACCAGGGCCACTTTCTCACCTTGCTGCTGTGGGTAAAAATGTGCAGTTGTCCTCAAAAAGCCTTGCTGAGGCAGTGCTACTTATATAGTAACAGTCTATGATGTATAAAATGCTCAGAATTTCCATGTTGGTATTGTTATCTCATGACATAAGAGGATTGTTTAAACAATGAAGAGTTTTCACCAGCAGGGAGCAACAGGCTGCTCAGTCACAGAGCAGGAGGGGGACAAAGCATTTCCATCCAGAGGTCTATTAATAT